AGAGAGAAAAGAAAAGAAAGTAAATAAAAATTGTTCTACTCCAATGATTCTCGTACCGAGTAACCGGGGGTTGGCATCTACAAATGTCGACATTCGCGTAAAAAGGTACTTGAATTAAGAGTATGCATTAGCAACTTGAATAAGTGAAATGTTGAGTAACCGGGGATCTTCACCTAAAAGTGTCGATTTTCGCGTAAAAAGGCATTCTCACTATTTAAGTAAAATTTGTGTGAATAAATCCCTCTTAGTTATAGAATTTTGAGAAAAAGATGATTATAAGGAGGAGGAAGGCTATAAATTGACTATGTGATTTGCTTATTTGTAAAATTAAGTTAGGGTAAGAGATTAAGTTTAACTTGTTGAATTTAGGGTATAATTATCTTTTCCTTTACTTGATATTATGAGTATTTAGTGTAAATTGAATAATTGTATAATGATTATTTTCCAAGTCTTGAGGAATTAAATTGGACAAAGTGCATATATTGTTTCACCTCTTGAATCATTGCATTTGATTATGTGTGAATTGCTTGAGGACAAGCAATGATTTAAGTGTGGGGGAGTTTGATAAGTGACTAATTTACGTAATAATTGTATAATATTTTATATTATTTTTAGTCACTTTAGTTATATTATTGGAAGAATATGAATCATTTTGGCTATAATTGGTGAAAAATGCTTTTAAGTGATTAAATGAGGTTTTTATCACTTTTTAGTGGATTTTGTGTATTTTGACAGTTTTGACACATTTTCGTATTTCGGCTATAACTTGAGCTACAATGATCGGATTGGGATGATTCTTGAACCCATTTGAAGATAAGAGATAGATCTACAACTTTGGTGAAGACATCTGAATCCAGTTTGAAGGTTTTCCAGGTCAAAAAGCCGAAGTACAGAGTCAATTGCTATTGGTCGAAACTAGAACAAGGCATGGAGCAGGCAAGGGTATTTCGGTCATATCTCAGCCTACACAGATCCAAATGAGGTGATTCTTGATGCATTGGAAAGATAACTCAAAAGGTTACAACTTTCATGTTTTAGACATGAGCTGGTTCAGCCTCTAACATCAAGAAAAGATCGGTTGAAGTTGAGCCAAAAACAGAGCAAGTGATCCACACTCGGATCCACTATTCATCCGAACCCTCGGCTGTTTCTGGGTTAGTGGATCCGAGCTCGGATCCATACGGATCCGAGGTACTGTAGCAGCTCGGATCACTGTAGCAGCCCAGATTTACTGTAGCAATCCGGCCGGAATTTGGCCGGATTTGTGGCCGGATTCCTGGCCGGATTGTGGTCAGAGAAGTCTGCTTTTTACGCGGAAAACTCAATTTCACCTCCACCAACTCACATGGGATGCTAGACATGTGAGAAACATTACCAGCTGTAAGGAGAAAGTGAAAAGCTTCATTCCTTGACCATTTTCATCATTAAAAAGAGCCAAATTCATTGCAAGAAGGAGAGATGGGAGTAGATAGCAGAGATTGGAGTTCATAGCAGAAAAATAGAGAGTGAGCTACGGGAGAAAGCTTGAAGCTGCAGAAATGTAGCTCTTTCATCTTCCTAGTGTTAGTTTAGCTTAGTATAGAGTAGTGTAGCTTTTCCATTCTTGTTTATTATCTAGATTAGGATGAAGATGGAGGATGAAGAAGGCAAGGAAGAAAGCTCATGTGACAAGGGTTGTATTCCTTCCAAACTCTTTATCTTTTGTATTTGATTCCAAGTTTAGTTAATATACAAGTTCTGGATTTTGTGTTTAATATGTGTATCTAAAGTTTAAGCCTTGGGTTTGGTTGAACATTCTATGATTGTTAGTGTTTATTATTTGGCTATTTGATTGCTAGTATTTGAGCAAGTTATTTAGCACTTTGGCTCTTGAAATCATGATTAATCTGGTACCATTAATTGTGATTATCTAAGGTGTTGTTTCTGCAATGAAAATTGAGATTTAACACTAGTTCAAGAAGTGTTAAACATAGGGAGTACACTCACGAAAGTAGAGGTGCACTTATGTGGTTTTTAGTGATTCATTTCATGTAATTTCATTGAAGAAATGAACTTGTAACTAATTTCATAACCATGAAAATAGGTATGGATTAGTTATGAGTATAGTTGATTCACTACGAAAGTAGGTTTCAAATGCATAAGGAAATTACACCATAACTAGCCTAAATGTAGTATTCAATGATCCAAATGTAGCACTTGCATGAGTAGTTAGGGATACCACAACCTAAGGAGCTTTTATTTGTTATTTTGTATAATTTCAGTAGGTTAAATTTCTTATAATTCATTGATAGTCTAAATAATAGAGAAGCTTTAGTAATACCAGTAATTGTTCACTCTTCCCTGTGGGATCGACCCGATATATACCCTAAACTACTAGTTGACCTGTATACTTGCAGTGAACGGGTGTAATTCGGTTTTTTAACTTGTACGTATGTAAAATACCCGTCATATACAGACATGAAAGTTCTTATTTCAATAAACCATTTTCTCTTTCTTAGATGGTATGCTTAATTGAAGACTATTAATGGGTGAACGGATACTTGATTTTTACCCATTTTTACATCTAACTCTCGTCCAATTAATTTTGCTTACAGTTTATCTCTCTTCCAATAACTTTTATCGCTTTTAATAAATTTAAATTGTTCTTTTTTTTTATCTATAGTAACTTTATTTACTATGAATTTAATTGTTACAATGGTAAATTTATTACCTTTGGCATACAGAAATGAATATATCATTAGGTCCCGTATCTCGTGTGTTTTCTCCACAATTTATTCATCTCTTTAGGAGTTCTGAAAATGCAAAGGCAGCCTCTATTATCAGGAATGGTAATTGGGCGTGGCCAAGCGGGAAAAATTACACTGCAGCAGTGATTTAGTTGGTTGCTGCCACCCCTCCTTAGTTCCCTTTGATTACTCAAGCTGACTCTGCATTTTGGAATCCTAGTCTTAATAGTCATTGTATATAGTAGGTTATACTAATAATTGCAGAGAGGGAGTCCCTATAGTTTGTGTACTCTTCTTGAGAATCAACAAAATGATGGCACGAGCATTGTCATTGTGAAAATTGGCACCGAGAAATCTTAGAACAACATAAAAACAAAAGAAACTGGAATATTTGTGTAATTACTTAGGAAATATACTAATTTAAGCATGTCAAAATATCACTATACATCCATTTTTTACTTAGAGAAAAATACAATTTTAGTCCTTAATATTTGGTTTGTGTGCCAAATTAGTTCCTAATGTATCGATCAAAGCAAATACAGTCCCAAAACTTTTAAGAGAAAAATTCAGTTTTAGTCCTTAATATTTGGCTTGTCTGTCAAATTAATCCCTAATATTTCAACCAAAACAAATACTCTCCCAAATTTTTTTTTATTTCAGCCATAAGGACAATTGATGAAAATTTCAACAATAACTAACGCTCATTGCCATTAGTCAACAATTTTAATTTTGCACTTATGGTCCCCAATGTTTGGAATTCGAATCATAATTGTCCTCTAAATTTTAAATAAGGATATTGAGGATTTTGGAATTAAATAAGATGCAAATTAAAATCAAATTATGATAAATGGGTAATAAAAGTCTAATAATAAAAATATAAAAAAGGAACACATCACTCATAAGGGGATAGATGTAATTTAGTCAAATCACAAGGTTGATTTTGTAATTTGGCCAAGGCACGAGGGAGGAAGATATAATAAATTTGTAAAATAAAGTACATATGCACCTCCTATTGCTTGAGGGATAAATTTATGAGGATTTATGAGTACTAGATCTTATGTACACTGACACTGGATAGGCTATCACATTTGGATAAATGATATTGATGCACAACCTATGGCTTCAAAATTAATACATAATCCCCTCATGATTTGGATTAAAGTATTAAAGTGACGGATATGGTTATTCGTAACGGAACTTTTAAAAATGTCGAAAATTATGTTATTGCTTTACCATATAACCCCCTTATGATTTTCAAAATATACACATAACTCTCCTTGGTTAATAAATAATTTTCACTTTACATAAGTGTATTTTTTATATTTTAGGTGACTCCACTACAAATAATCATTTTCGTCAATTTGACACTTTAATTCAAATCATGAGAGAATTATGTATAGTTTTTTAAACCATAGGGGAATTATGTTAAAAAAACTAAACCACAGGGAGGTAAAGTGTAATTTGTCCTATTTTCTTTTATTTATATATTTGATATCCTAAATTCACAAACATACTTGTATGTTATATAAAGGTTTTCTTTATTTCATAACCTTTTTTCTAAATGTTTTTGCTAGCAAGAAGAGGTGAGAATTACGGAGCGAGGAGGGAATAGTGAGATTTGAATACAAGACCTTTAATTTCTGAAACCTCAAATCTCTATTTTGCCACCTAAGAATATATGATCAGCACATAAATAAAGGGTAAATTACACAAACTTGCTTGTAGATTCACAAATTGCCACAAAACTCTTTAACATTTTAAAATATCTACAAAACTCCCTATGATTTCAAGCAAAGTGAAAATTTGATAGAAAATAACCCCCATAAAGTCTTTAGTTGAAATATCAGTATTGTTCTTGTTTAGGTATTAAATTGACAATGGCATGAGCATTTTTCCATAAAATCATATGAGAATTTCGTCAATAAATGCAAAACTTACAACCGTTAAAGTGGATATTTATGTAAATTATAAAGGTTTAGACGAATATTATGATTTTGTCATGCACATTTTTTTGAGCACATCTAGATGAGTCACCGTAATAGTTGGTATTTTTGTCTATTTTCTACTTCACATAAAATTATAGGAGATCATGTAGGTATTTTAAAACCTTAAAAAGGAATATGTAGCAATATGAAAAATCACAGTGGAGTTAAGTGTAATTTACACAAAAATATAGATGGACTAACTCTCACCTTAGAGCCTTCATAAAAACCGTCGAGATAAATAGCGGCGGAGGAGGGTGAACAGACCGGGTTGAATGAAAAAGTGGCGAGGATGAAGAGGAGAAAGATCAGCAGGCCATCAGACTTCAAAATCCCTGTTGATGTAGTCTTCGATGTGCTCAAAAGACTTCCAGCAAAGTCGCTCATGCGATTCAAAGCGGTCTCTAAGGCATGGCATTGCCTAATCTGCGATCCCTACTTTGCAGAATCTCACCGTGATTATTCTCATATTAGGCCTGATGCCTCCTATTTTCTATTTGGATTCGTTCAAATACTATTGTCCCAACAAATCTTAATGAATGCTTTTCCTCCCAAATTCCTACTCATGCTTTCCAAAATTATGTGCTTTGCACCGAAATTGTGCATGGCCTTGTCTGTTTGTTAGAGAAGAAAATTCTGCAGCCTCACGTCCTCAATCTCACCACAGGGGAGAAGATGGCTCTTCCATGGACACCGTTGAGCGCTGTAAACAGATACGAAACTGTTAGCCGTTCTTATGCCATGGGTTTTGATCCATCTACCAAGAAATATGTAGTCATCTTCATACTTAAAAATAAAGAAAATTTAAATAAGGAGTGTAGGATCCTTGCCTTGGGAGCCCCATCATGGAGGAAAATACACGAGTTACCAATTTGGGGACTTTCTCAAAGGAATATATACGCTAATGGAACCATATATTGGATGGATGAATTAGCCATGAATGGTAGAAAAGGTATTCACTGTTTCAGTGTTGCTGGGGAGAAATTTGAAGTACTTTTTGGACCTGAAGGTGTCAAAAGCACAGGGCAATTAGCACAAGTTAGAGGGTGTTTGGCTTTTTTATGCCTGAAAGATGCTTCTTCAGGAATGTGTGACCTCTGGAGAATGGACAGGAATAAGAACAAAGTCTGGACCAAGACCACAATTCAAATCAAATTGTGGGACTCTCCTCCTGTTATGCTTGAAATTAAAATTATTGGCTCCACAAAAAGAGGTGAAATCTTAATTACAGTTGGTAGCAAGTGGTCACCTAGGAGCAAATTAATTGTTTATGATTTGGAAACTGGAAAATTTAGGACTACTTGGATCACCTGTCCATCGCATCCTAAGGGCAAAGTTTGAGACCTGATTTTCTTAGTTTCTCATGCTTCTGCGGGCGATCATGTGGAAAACATTCTTCCCCTGGAGACTTGCAAGGGAAAGAAGAACAGAAAAGAACAAATCAGCTTAAAATGTGTATCAAGTTCACTATTTGACGGTTATGTTCAATATTAATGCGCAGAGTCATACGTGCAATGATTGTAACAGTGATGAATTTTCTCTAGTGTTGGGGTTTATTTTACTGTTAGATTCCGTGATTCTACAGATATTCTGTGATTTGGCTAGCTTCTATATAGTATAGTTTTGAATGATATGTATTTTACCTCAAAAAAGAGAATGCAAGTTTTTTCTGGAATGACTTTCTTGCAAATTTGGTGTCTGGATATTACTGGATAACTGTTACTCATCTTTCTTTCTTGTTTTTACTGGGAAAATCTGCAACTATTGTTGACTCAGGTATTTGAAATTTCAAAATCTCAGTGACCATCTCTCATGCAGTGGCGAGGTTCCAATTTTGAAGATGACATGTTTCAGCTGACAAATTTAACAAGTTCGGGTGGCAGTAGTACTGAAATTTCACTTGCATCAAAGTATTCCAATCCATGATCCACATATTGAAACATCGTGTAGTTTAATAAGAGTAGCCTTGGTTCTTGAGTTACAAAGAGAAAATGATAATGTGCCTTTAGAAGTGTGAGCCCCCGTAGCACAATGCAACTAATATATCTATTCTTAATCTGTGCTCATTCACTACATTGTCACTTTTCAGAACGAAAACCCGAATGATCGTCTTAAATATCTGCATTGACCAAATGCCTTTAACTGAACTGCCAAAAAAAAAAAAAAAAAAGGGATTTAGGACTAAGCTATACGTATGTATATAAAATCACATAGTGAAATGCATATTTGACAGACATAATAATATGTGGAAGAAGAGGAGTTTTATTAATCACAAACAAAACCCTTACAATTTCTTTAATTTTGCTTAAACTCTTCTCAATTAAATATGATAATAAAAACCTTATGTATAGTGCACAAGGCTTGGTAATTTAGAAACCAAACAAGAAACTACTAAATATTGCTCTATACCTAGAACAAGAAAATTACTGAAATTTGACTAGAACAAGAATTTCTAAATCAACAATGGGAAACATCAAAAACTTGGTTTAATTATGCCAACATATAGGAATTTCCATCTTTCTTTCATATTTCTGTTTCTTAATTCGCTCACCCTTTTCCAGAAGGAAAACTAATGAATTGCGTTTCCTTTCCCATCCGGGCGATGCACTCATCAGCAGCCCGGCCGGATAAATTATTGGAAACCAAACTAAGTTCAATATAAATGGTAAGTAGCCCAGCACCATGTCCCTGAACAAAGAATTGAAGCGAAGCTGAAGACTAAATCACGGATTCTATGGGGAGATTTAAGTGGAACTGGAAGAATAAGGCTATGGAGAAGGGTAAGGGAAACGTTTCAAAGCCTCCCCAACTTCCAGAAGATGTAATCTTCAATGTGCTCAAACGGCTGCCCAACTCTAACCAACAAATACGTTATGAGGGTTTGTTTAAGTTAGATCATACGTTTCCCTAACATGGGACCAATCACTCGAGTCGCTACTGGTATTGACCAATCAAACAATTATGGATTTAACCGGTTAATTTGGAGTAGATTATTAGGTTAATTCGAATATCAAACCCTTGACATTTAAATAACAAAACAATCATAAGAAACTAAACTAAAAAACGTACAAATACCAATGAATAAAAAAAAATAAATAAAAATAATTCGATCTCATAGATGTTTGGAACCCTGACTTCAAGTCAACCCTTGACTAGAAAAGAAGATTTAGCTACGCGTCCTCAAGGGAAATCCACAGGACTCCATTGATAACAATTGCATATCATTTTTCTCCTCAAACTTACGAAAGATAAGAAGAATCCCTCCGTGATACTTCGAAAAGTTATCCCAAAAAATGTTGCTGGCTAACTCCTAATCGCACGGAAATCCGGCTTTCTTTTTTTCCTCGTTTCCTAATTGAAGTCTATTTCTAACTAAAAACGAATCTCCTAAATAGAAAAATAAACCACAAAAGAAAATATTCCAAGTTTCCTAATTGAACCATAAAACTAATAATGAGAATTCAAGTCTTCCAAATATTCCTCTAAAGTTGCCCAGAGTTTGAATCGAATTTGGAAATGGGCCCCGAACATGTGAATCCCAAATCCTTCAACCTTGACAACCAATTTGCAGAAAATCACTCATTTTTAGGAACTTTCACTCCAACACCCTACAATTAGTACAAGTAACCAAATATAAGTAGAATCCATCAATTAAAATAATATCTGGTTAAAATAAAGGGAAAAAATCATAAATTAAATAACAATTTTGCACCCTATTAGTGCTGGAATTGATTTAAATCAACTAACAGTCTCGTATACTTTTTCCATATTTTCTTTTATGAGAGGTTTGCCGTTAGAGTCACTTAAGATTGGTTTGTCTTCCTTTCCTCCTCCATTTGTTACTTACATTGTAATTTCTATAAATGGCAAATTCATGGAACAATTCCGTCTAATTCAAAGTTCTTTCCTCCCTCTAATAGCATTCGATATAGGTTTTGGTTATATGACATTAGAAGTTTGTTTTAGAAACAATTCTTGCCTTTGTACTTTCTCGTAAGCAAAGAAAATTAGCCGATACAGGTATGCTGGATATCGTGATGATAATCGATAAAACAAACTGGATTCCTAACTTTTTAAGTCATCGACCCTGAATTGGCCAACATTTGATATACGTCAATAACAAAACACAACTTTTGATCCTCAATATTTGATCTGTGTGCCAAATTGGTGCCTTATATTTCAGTCAAAACAAATATAGATCCCAAAATTTGTGATTGTAAGCAGATTTAGGACAATAATGGAAAACCATCTTAACTAATAGTCAACATCAAATTGGGGCTAATCAAAAGTTTTGAATTTGCATATTTAATCCCTAATATTTTAAGTTTTGATCATTATGGGTCCCTTAGATTAGATTTTAAGTAGTTACAACCAGGGCTTTTAAGATGAAATGATATCTGAATTGAATTAGATATATGACAAATATGTTCCTAAATATCTATAAAATTTCATAGCACGTTGTATTAGCACAACATGATTGCAGCCTAAATAGCATATCTTTGTTAGATAAGCTATAATTTGATGACAATATGCCAATAATAAATAAAATATAAAAGTAGTGGAAGAAAAAGAAAATTCTAATTTTATAATCTAAGTATATTATAGTTACTACTACACAAATTGTTATATGTCTTGTGCATGTAGATTTCAAATTCTTGTAGTTAGCCATTATACTTAAAAAAACTATTGAAGATAAGTATCAATGTGAAGGTATTTTAGGATTTTTGGGATCTTTCTTTGGTTTTTTTGGGAAAAATCATTTAAAACGTTTCTCACATTTTGTAAAATGATTTTTTTCGTCCCTCACTTTTAAAAGTGTATTTTTACATCCCTTACAAATTCACATTGATCAAATTTGATCCCTACTTAGGTTTCCGCCAAATTTTTGGCTGAAATTCGTCACATGCCTTGCATGTGATCATTTTTAGGGGCAAAATTGTCAAATTAAAATTTGCATAATCCGATCTATAGTCTCTTACATTTTACAAAATGAATTGTTCCGTCCCTCACACTTCACAAAATAAATTTTTTAATCCCTCGCATTTTACAAAATGAATTTTTTTATCCCTCATTAACCTTGTGTATAAAAAGTTTTTTTTTAAATCCATGTATATATCCATTTGATTTCACTTGAACAGTACGAATAACATGTAATATTTTTCTATTTGATTTCACTTAAACAGACTAATTGTAATTGTATACATGCTATTTAATAGATATATACATGGATTTAAATCTAACAATTTTGTTTTAAATTCATATATATATATTTATTTGATTTTACCACGTGAATCTATTCAATATTTTTAACCTTTCTCTTTTGGTAATAATTCATTTATTGAGTTGTGTAATGAGGCCATCTAATTAATCAGTCCTAATTCGAATTCTATAGTTATGCTAACAAATTGCAGTTTAAATTTGAAATTTTTAGTCACCACCTTTAAGACCAACAGTTGAATTTCTTGCCTTTTGATTGTCTTAAAATTTGAAAGTGTCAATCACTTACTTCTTTTTGTCATACTTTTTCTTTGTTTATTTTTTCTATCCAAATTTAATTCGATATAAACACTTGATAATATTTAGAATTAAATGTCTTCTTTATTTTCAATTTTCGAGTAAACGAAAATAAACATAAGTCAAAAGCTAATAATTTTTTTAAACTCTCTGGATATATCTATTTAATTTCACTTGAACAGTACGTTCAAACGAAATCAAATAGAGATATATTATATGCTATTCGTATTGTTCATGTGAGATTAAATAGATATATACATGAGTTTAAAAAAAATTATTCATACACATGATTAATGATGGATGAAAAATTTTATTTTATAAAATATAAGGGATGAAAAAATTCATTTTGTGAAATATGAGGGACGAAATAATTCATTTTGTGAAATGTAACGGACAAAAAAATTAATTTTATGAAATGTGAGGGACTATGAATCAGATTATGTAAATTTTGATTTGATAATTTTGCCCTTAAAAAATGATCACATATAAGACACGTGATAGATTCCGACTAAAAACTAGTCGAAAATTTAGATAGGGACTAAATTTGATCAATGTGAATTTGTAAGGGATGTAAAAGTACACTTTTAAAAGTGAGGGACGAAAAAAGTCATTTTGTAAAATTTGAGAGATATTTTAAACGATTTTTTCTTTTTTTTTTGAAAGCTTTCTTTTATTTTTTTTTTGTTGTCTTTTCTACCAATTAAAATCCAACGTTCCAATACTTTAGCTTTAAAGTATTTATTTTAATATCTATATACCTTGATAATCATTTAATAGTTCATATAATGTGTATAAAATGTCAATTTCATTTCAAATTCAATTGATAA